GGATGTTCTGGCTCCCCGACTTGAAAGAAGGGCTGCTGTATCTGCTAGTTTGTAGAGCAGCATTTAGGTGACGCATTTAAAAAAGCACCCAATGAACGAACGAATGTGAGTGCATACCATTATTACTGATAGCTCATTACCAACCAGTTATTGGGGCTTAGGTACAAAGCAGAGAATAAAGACCTGCAGAGAAGGGTGGCTTCTTTTCTGGACCTCTTACAGTTTCAGATCTGTGCATGTCAGGACCTATCTCAGCTGAACGGGAGTGTTCTTTTCAGAGGCATGAATGAATGTATCAACCTTTTATTAATGCTAATAAAAATGCTTTGCCTCTGTGTTTTGGTCTGCATGCTCTTTTGACAGCCATTCTTTGCAGCTGCTACCATGTTCTAATTTATCATGTCGTGTATTTCAAGGAAGAGTTTTATGGGATTCCAGGGCTTTTCCTCAACTCGTTTCTATTTGCTGATGGGAGACGTTTCTTGGGACCTGACTGTTAGCACGCTGAGGCAGTACGTTCTGTGACAGACAGTTGATATTAAAGAAGTCTGCACTGTCATCCCACTTCCCTGACAGAAAGGGAAGTGTGCATTCAGTTACAGGTCAGGAGCAGATTTTGCATGTCCATTTTCTTTAAGGGATTGCCAGAATCCAAGGAGTACAGTCATACATTTATTTACTCTCCAGCACCTAATTGAGTTTCAGCTGTGGGCCACACTTTTCTTGATAGTCTTAGAAATAATGAGATGATTTAGGCACCCTTCTCACTTCCAGGGATTTTACAGACTACTGGTGGGGGTAAGAGGGACCATTCTTTTTTTTTTTTTAATGGTATAAAAGGTGTTTTAAGTACTGTATTTGAAGACACACTCAGGTGGGAGGAGACTAAGGATGGGGTGGTCGTTTCTGCCTGGTGCTGTCTGGAGTTGCTCTTCGAGAGAGAGGTGCTTGAGCTGACCACGTAACGTGAAACAAAGCAGCCCGGGGTTTGCATCCCAGCTCTTGTGCCTCCCTGGTTGTCTTGTCTTCTCTGAGTCTCATTTGCCCACTGATCTATGAAGAGGAGAATCTGCCTTGCAAGGCCATTGTGGAGATCCAGAGTTCATTTACATCCTGCATTCCCAGGGTCTGCAGAAGTCTTTTCTGGCACCATCTTTTGCGTTTTCATCAGTGTCAGGGGCACTGTGCCCCAGAATTATGTTCTTTTAGAGCCGTGAGTGAGATCAGGAAGCTTTTCTCCCCACCTGTTCTGAGTTTCTTAAGGACAAGGCATCTGTTCTGACTCTTTGGTGTATGCCATACACAGAGAACAGTTTCCTTAGTGGGTCCATTCTGGGTCCAAAGTGGAGTGGACCTACTTCTCAGGGACTGGTTTCCATCCACCATACTCCCAGGACATTCTACTGTTAGTTGATAATGAGAAGTACGTCCTGTAAGGGATGCAGAAAATAATTCGCATCCCAATGGCAGTGTACACTTTCCTGGGGGATGTCAGCCCTGTGTAGGCAGTCACAGGCAGAGATTGGGAATCCTGGAGTCAGAACAGCTGTCACACCACCAGACTGAGCCTCGTGAAAGGCATGGCCGTCTCAGTCCCTGGCTCGTAGTTAGTAGTTGGCCGGCTGCCCCCAGCATCTGCTTCCCAGTTCTATGCAGTGCATCCAAGGCCAACTACTCATTTTATGTGTGATACATTTTACAGTCAAGTCTTGCTAACCTTAAGTCCATTTCTCTTCATTTTAGATTCTGTGATCCAGAAGTGTTATTCATTTGTAGAACACCTGTAACTCTCTTGTTTCACTTTTTGTCTTACCTGTCAAAACGCCAGCCTTGTTTAAAACCAACTATTAGCCTGCTCTGAGCCTACATCCCAGCAACTGGAAGTCGCTAGAGAAAAGCAGATCTTCCTCTTTAAATCCAAGACCATACATCTCAAACAGAGATGCTTGCTGCCCAGCCATCCTCTGCACTTGGCCCTGGCGAGTTCAACTCTTCTTTCTGCTCTCCAAAACAACTGCTTCACATTTCCACCCTCATCCACAGATGTTCACCACCACTACCGCCACCTTCTCGGCCTCCTCGTGGCCTCTCATTGAGAGAGAAGCGAACTCAAATTCTCTACCTCCCTACCACGAAATCCCACAATTCCTTTTTGTTCTCCCTCACCAGTTTCTCTGCTTCCTTTTGCCATGAAACCACCAAGAGTTACATACAAGAACTCTCCCCACATCTCTCCTCCTCTCTTCAAACCAGTGTAACCCGTCTTCTGTCCCCTCCACTTTGTTGAGATGGTTTCACCAGGACCACAGCAGCCTGTCTTGCCCACTTTTAACAGCTGCTGTTCATCCTCATCCATCTGACTATATTTCACTTGTTGTTCGCTCTGTCCCTGACATCACTTTCTCCTAGTTGTCCTCCTACCTGCCTGGCTTTAGCCCACCCTTCTTTCCTGTCTCCACTTTATTTGTAGGTATAGGTACCATCCAGTCCTCAGATTTCTGATTGGCATCTCAGACTTAGCATGCTCAAAGTGAGCCTTTGGAATTCTCCTTGACCTCACCTGCCAACCTGCTTCTCCCACAGTTTTTGCCATTTCAGTTCAGTGACGACTCTTACCTCAGATCCCTCATATGTTCTAACCCTCTGGCCTCCTCAGGGCCCCGCTTACCTCAGATCCCTCATGTGTTCTACCTGCTGGCCTCCTCAGGGCCCCCCAGCCGTACCTCAGACCCCTCATGTGTTCTACCTGCTGGCCTCC